GAAACCCACCATGAATGATGTCAAGGTATTCAGTAACATACAAATAAATTGACATAATATAAGGTTATTACAAGAATACCTCAAAGTATGCACAAAGACAGTACAGCGGGAGTACCACATGCAGCAAAGGTCGACGCACGGCGTACTGTCGGAGTGCATACTTTGAGGTATTCTTGTAATCTTATTATTATACATCTTTTCCTTCCAAGAATACACACTTGTTTTTATTATTAGAGGACGCTTATGTGTGTAATCATTACATATTTGGAATTCGCATTTCCTAATATGGTAGGATGAAAATACCCTGTAAAATAACGTCACAATGTAACTTATGGCGTTACGGTGATAGATGTATAATAATAAATGAGATGCTGTAATGTGTAGACAATTTCATTGGGACTGAGTTGCTGGGTTCTTAGATACGAGAGAATATTTTAACAAATCAATATGCTAATAACATGATTAATATTCACAGAAATATCCTGATTCACCAAGAAATGTCATTTAGACTGATTTACAAGTTTATTCTCTGTGACTGTGAATGAATAATAATATCTCAATGAGTCGCAATGTACACACATTCTGTGCCCACTCTATTAATTAATAATTATTCTAACAAAATTCTATATTTTATTAATAGCTTAAGAGATTAGTATTGGTGAGAATTTATTAGACCTACCTGATAATATTTGTTGATATATTGTCTCATTGTTAGTGTTAATTTATTACTTAGTGACTTGATATACTCAGCTGGCTGCAATTTACATTCCGGATTTGAACAGTGGTCTAAAGTACACAGGATTGTGGAGCCCTGCAATAACAACATAGACACATTACTGAGGTGTTTACATATGAGAAACAGACATTCATCATGGACAGAGTGATTCAATGATATTCCATGAATATGTTGGAATCAAAACAAAACAACCAGAGCAAGTATATTTTGAGCCATTTTTTCTAACCTTCATGACTCAGACACACATATATTTTCCCCATTCAGGTATCATGCCCAGTTTCAAATGGGAAACACAAGCAAGTCTCCCCCCCCCATGGAGGTGTTCTGCCATACATGTTCTCCAGGATGAAATATCCAGCCACACAAGTATTGGGTACATGTGTCTCAGTATGGGAATACCTGCGATACATGTGTCTCAGTATGGGAATACCTGCGATACATAAGGCCCAGGAATGTGATACACTGAGATACATAAGGCCCAGGAATGTGATATCCTGAGATACAAGTGGCCCAGGAGTGAAATATCCAGCGATACATGTGGCCCAGGAATGTGATATCCAGCGATACATGTGGCCCAGCAGTGGGATATCCAGCGATACACGAGGCCCGGAGTGGGATATCCAGCGATACACGAGGCCCAGAGTGGGATATCCTGCGATACATGTGGCCCAGGAGTGGGATATCCTGCAATACATGAGGGCCAGTGTGAGATATCATGCGATACATGTGCCCTGTATCCTGCCACACACGTTATATTCAAAATAAAAAAGGGAGCAGGTACACAGAGTGCTGAAAACCTCTAGAATTGCTTGACACTTACACTTCCAGAGAACACGCTGTCCATTATGTTTTCACGCCCGCATTTACAAATAAATATGAATCTTTTACAATCTTTATATTTCTCTTCATCTGCTAACTGCGCTTCGTAGCCATGCACAGCATCTAGCTCATCTTCCTGTTGTCTCATGGAGTGGCGGTAGCCTGAGGGATCCAAGCCTGCAGGAACCAATGACAATGAGAATTCAATGGGCAAGTAATTCAGCATATAAATAATATCATAAGACATTGGTAGATTATTTACTTAATTACAAGACAATCCTATATGTTGTAGTACTTGTAGCAGCTAATGTATACCATATTTGGTACTTACCAAGACATTCAGCTATTTGGGCCGTGTCAGTGCCATCTATTGGATCACAAAGTCGTGAAACTACAGGATGCACCTGCTGCGCCAGGTAATATTTAATGTCAATTTTCAAATCTGGTCTACGATCCACCTCATCGGGGTGATAGGCACGTTGGCTAGCTGGAAGATTAGAACCATCCTGCAGGGAGAAAAAATAAAACAAAAAACACCCCAATCAGTCATATGCCTACTACCCCAAGAGGGATAATCACCCCCTCAGGGAGATCACTGGTTTGTAGATTCTGGCAACATATTGAATATACATGACAAACCCTTGGTAACACATGGTGGCTATTTACAAGTGGTACTTATAGACACAAAATTAATTATACACATAGAAATATTGCCTCAGGATAAACTCCAGATAGAGTTTCAGAGAGACAGCTGATACATAATCAATAATTTAACACAGTTGAAACGTCCAGAATTGATATGTTATCAGGTTCAGTGTTACCTCACATATAATGTATGACACAGTATCACCAGCACCAATCTTTTTTCCTTGATGAGAATTAATCCACAATGCTACGTGAACATGGGGTAAACTCTTCTTATCAGGGTAGTCTTGGGGAGATTTAGTCAGAGCCTGTCAAAAAACAAAACAAAAAAAAACTTCAAAATCATTTGATTAGTTATTAGTACCTGGGACACATTTATTTGTTTATCAACAGAAATTTGTGAGAGAACCACACCCACATTTTCAACCATTTTTAGTGTGCAAGTTGCCAACAAAACTCATGAATTTTATGGATTCAAATAAAATAAAGCTAGCAATTGCTAAGAAAGGTTATTAATATATTCTTCGATGCTCTTTGAATTATTATTTTTTTTTTACTTCAAGATATTAAATGGATAGTTGAAGTTGCAGAGATTTCAAGGTGACTGTTTATTTGTGACAACGCTAGCTCTGTTGTAGTTGCAGGAAGTAAAATAAAAAAAATTATAATAATACTTGTTTAATTATTTGGGTTTTCAGCCCACAAATTACAGGACATGATCTCCATGAATTATGGGACATGTTTGTCCTGTCTCGGCTGATTGTGTTGATACCCGTCCTAAACTCAGAGTATGAAGAAACCAACGGAGAGCGATATTCCAAACAAACTATTGGAACACGGTCGACAGACATTTCAAACAATCAAAATTATTAATGAAAGATAAGATATTTCTAGATATTTACAAACATATGTCATGACAAACATATGTAAAATTAACAAATATACAAAGAGGTATAATATTAGGTTTTATTTTAGGCTTAGAAATATTTTCTTTCACTCAATCCATGCTTGGAACTGCTATTTAGCATCATGGACCCTCGGCTTGTGTTTGCCTTGGGGGGAAAACAACAATAATTATACAAATCAGACAACCATGTCGTACTTGTGTTGAAATACATTTTGTAGCAGTGTGTCACGTCAGAATATTGTTTAAAATAAAATATTCAACCCAGTCAAGTCTAGGTCAAAAAGTCAGATTGTTAGATAGATAGTTGAAACAAAAAAGTATTTGAACTTTTAACGACTGTTCAACATCTATAAAAACATGGAAGACAATTATAAGTCAATGTGAACCTGAGTAAATTTTTAGTAGTTCAAATTTTAAATGCAAGCAAGAAAGCGAGTGAGTGGGTTATGATATTTCTGGGTTTCCGCAGTTGAAAATAAAGAGAAAATTGGCCGGTCGAATTGAACAGCATCAATTAAAACAACATAGTTGAACTCTGGTG